TGGGTAGTGCTTTCCTTGGAGTGAAGTCAAAGGAATGACCAATAATCAAGTATCACCTTTGTCCATATATGGAGAGAAAAGAGTAAGATCATCTTGTCCAGAGGTTGCAGACTGGTTGATAGGTCTTAATTTAGTTTATGAATGAACTTGATAATCTTCGAAGGCAACATGAAGCTGAAATTAATGCAATAAGGTAACAAAATAACTGGGATAAATATTGGAAAATAGATAAATCCATCTTTTTTGATGTTGAAATGATTGTATACCTAGAAACCCTAAAGACTCTAAAACTACACCTGTCAGAATACTGATAGATAATAGGTATCAGAATACTGATATGGTGATTGGATACTCGGATACTGGTTAAATATACAAAAACCAATAGCCTTTCCTATTCTAGCAATAAGTACTTAGGAGTAAAAATGAGAAAAATATTCTATTCACAACAACAGAAAGAGAATTTGAATGATTTTAAATGGAGCTTGTCTTCTCTGGTTCATCATAATCCCCACCACTCCTTATTCTCCTACACCTGGACCATTTTCTGCACTCACCTTAAGGAATTTGACTTTACTACCTCTGAATTTAAACAGTGGTGTGCTGGAGCTGGCTCATATCAACTCACCAGACCCGGGTGGAGCTGGTTATTACATAGTTTTAATAGCCTGAAACATGTACACAATAGAAATTGACAAAAACTGCAAATCAAGGCTTTATTTCTCCCTGCCAGACAGCTGTTTTACCAGCATGCATCTGAATCTTACCTCTCACTTTATGGATCCAGGTCCCAATTGTGCAAGGTCACTAAGCTAGTTACAGTTAATGTGATCCCCCAGCTCCTACTTTAGTGCATTCTCTATGCCTACCATATAGGAGCACAGCATGCTGACTAGGAATCAGACCTGGTTCATTTGTGAAGGCAGGAGTATTATCACAGAAGCCACAGTGTCCTGGGAAATGTATATTGGGAAAGGCAGACATTGCAACAGATTTTCTGATCTCTTGATGCTGCCCCATTTAGGGAAATTGCAGGTAATAGAACTTACAGCTCTCTCTCTTCCAGGTAACCACACAAGAAACAGTCATGGAGAGTAACCCAGAAGATGGGGCCTACATAAAAGGACTCTTTTTAGAAGGTGCCCGCTGGGACAGGGAAACAGTGCAGATTGAGGAGTCTTTCCCCAAAATTCTCTATGATCCACTGCCCGTTATTTGGCTGAAACCTGGGGAAAGTGCAATGTTTCCACATCAGAACATTTATGTATGTCCAGTCTACAAAACAAGTGCCCGAAGAGGCATCCTCTCCACCACAGGCCACTCCACCAACTATGTCCTCTCCATTGAACTCCCAACAGACAGGCCCCAGAAGCACTGGATAAACCGAGGGGTAGCCTCTCTGTGCCAGCTGGATAATTGATGGCATCCATCTCAATGCAGAAAATAAAAGGCATCTCATTCTCAACCACAACCTAGCTTTCCTTTCATAAGAGACACATGGTATGATGATGATGGCAGCAGTTATATTAATAGAGCACTTGCTACGAGTCAGTATTTCAGAGCAGCCCTATAAAGTAGGTTATTATTATCCTCATTTTATGGCCACAGAAACCATGATACAAAGAAGGTAAGTAAGATCTCCCAAATCAGATAGCTACTAAAATAGTGGAGCCTGGATTTGAACACAGATGATGGGACTCTTCAACCTAGACCTTTAGCCATTTGGCTAAACTCCTTTGTGTTTTATTTCCTGTTGTTTTGCTGTAACTTCCACTGAACTTTAATTGCTTCTTTCCTAGTGCTGTTTCCTAGCACTAACATCACAGCCTCTCAGGTTCAAAAAGGCTTGAGCCACTGTGCTGACAGCTCAGAGCCTGGAGCCTGCTTCAGATTCTGTGTCTTCCTCTCTTTCTGCCCCTCTCCCACTCTGTCTCTCTCTCTCTAATAATAATAATAATAATAATAATAATAATAATAATAAAAACATCAAAAAAAAAACCCAACTAGTTCAAGGTTTCACAACTTATCAGTGATAGAAATGGAACCCAAATACTTCTCTACTAACCTGCAACAAATGGGCAGAAATTTCAGGAAGGAGACATGAGAAAACCAGCATTTGTTGCATGCCTACTATGTACCATGGGTTGTGACCTGGTCCTTTAGATATCTTGTTTTTTCCTATGTGGTGGGTACCATTGTCTCTCCCTCTGGAGATTATGTAACTTGCCTAAGATCATCCAGCTCTTTGACATTGCAGAGCCAAGGTCTGTCTGGCTCTAGAACCCATGCATTTTTCACTGCCACATGCTGCCTCCCTGCCAATGACTTGGCTATGTTATGATGTAGAATCTTAAATGTGTAGCTCCAACAACCATGTCCAAAAAATTTCTAGTTTATCACTTTCCTGTTTTCCCCCAGAGCCAGCTAAAAGAGAATCCTAAGGAATATAAAAATCAAATTCTTTATATATTACTTCTCGACTAACTCTTTCATTTAGCTCTTTGGCTCTAAGTGACTTCAGGGCATTCCATTGGTCAGTTCATAGTTGAGCAAAGACATAAGGCTGTTTGAGGGTCTTTTTTTTTTTTTTTTTAGAACAGTTTCTGAATGTATTTTTTTTTAATATATGAAATTTGTTGTCAAATACAGTTTCTGAATGTATTTTTTTTAACATATGAAATTTATTGTCAAATTGTCAAAGTGCTCATCCCAAAAGATGCCCTCAATACCCATCACCCACCCTCTCCTCCCTCCCACCCCCCATCAGCCCTCAGTTTGTTCTCATTTTTTAAGAGTTGTTTGAGGGTCTTAATGTGTCTTTCGGTTTCTCTGCCTCTTCACTAGAAGAAAGGTCCTCAGGGTTTTTTATTTTTCCTGAATGTGGGAAGCTTCAGAGAACCAAACATACATACTCCAGAAATCTCTTCATGGAAACATGGAGTTGATAAAATTCTGATTAAGAACCCTAAATTAGGGGTGCCTGGGTGGCTCGGTTGGTTAAGTGTCCAACTTTGGCTTGGGTCATGATCTCACGGTTCATGGGTTCGAGCCCCATGTCAAGCTCTCTGCTGTCTGCTTAGGGCCTGGAGCCTGCTTCGAATTCTGTCTCCCTCTTTCTGCTCCTCTCCCTCTTGTGCTCTCTCTCTCTCAAAAAACAAACAAACATTAAAAAATTTAAAAAGAACCCTAAATGCTGAGATCAGCAGAATTATCTGAGAGATCTGAGACATTAAGTGCAAAAGGGGAGTTCTCCAAATCTTGCCAGGAGGCAATAAAGAGGAGCAGTCTCTTCCAACTCAAAGCAGGTAGCTTAATAGTTATTTTTTCGAGAAAGACAGTTTTTTAATTTTTACTTTTTCCAATGAGGGAAAGAAAATCAGAATGAAAAGAGAGCTGAAACTGCATTATCATTCCAAGTAGGATTGTTGGTCATGTGAGATGGAAAGATGGTCAGGATCCCAACTGCCTGAATCTTGGACTGGTTAGGCTAAGTTGTATTGTAAGTTTTAAGGCAGTGAGGGGGTTGCTAAGAGAACAATTGGATTTTAATTAGTTGTCTAACTCCCAGATTCAGCAACAAAAAGCTGAAGGAGGCAGGGACTGACTGTTTCATTCCTCAGGGGTCAAGGGACAGAATGTTTCTGTATGATGGATTAAATTTTTGTAATTTAAAAAATTTCCTCCACTTTGAAAAGAAACAGTGCCCTAAATTTGAGGTCATTTTCTACTGGGGCCAATGGGGTATTTAATGTTTCCCCCTGGGAAAGAGCTGTATGTTCTTTCAGAAATCCTGGTGAGTTAGAGGCTGGAGTCTTGGGGCAGAGATGGCCAGAGATCAGTTTGGTGAGAAGCTGCAGTTCCTGCCAATAAATAGTGCAGCAGATGATATCAGACAAACATTGTCACCAAGCTAGTCATTTCTCTTTAAAAATCTAGCTGTTGGGTAAAGAATTTTCAGTCCTTGTCAGTATTGGAAGAAAATTTCATTGAAAGAGGGGATGTAGGGAAGATAGGTTTGGCCTTTAGAAGAACGAAGATGGAGATTTTATAGTCTTGGAGAGAAAATGGGAGAAATAAAAGCTATTATAAACATTGTTCATATGAAAGTTTTGGTAGTAAATTGGTAATTATGTTACTGTGTAATAGGACATGCACCTTTGCAAAGGAGGCTAGTCATATAAAATTCAGTTAGGTAAGATTCCTGGCACATAGAAGATACTCAGGAGGCTAGCTAGCAATTAGATCAACTTCCATTTTGGAATAGGCTGGGTGGGAAGGTTGGTTTCTTCACTCAACAGAGTTAAAGACAAAAACTGCACAGTCAAAATCACCTTGAGTTACTTAGAAAAGGACGAGGACAGAGATAGGCAAGTCACGTCTCACTTGGTCCAGCAGAGCCAGTTTTTCCACCAATGCGAGAACAGATCACTGTTTCAATGGTTGACCCCCAGATGAAGTACTTGACTTGATTTCACAGGCCCTATGTTGTATGACAAAATGTGTAAACACTAGAACCACCTCTGAACAGGGAGATGCTTCCACAATGAGACCAGATAGAAGGAGAGTTACTGATGGAACAGCAGATGTCTCCCAGTTGAAGCCAAGCTGGGGTTTATGTGGCAACCATGTTAAATATGCATTTGCTATTACTACAGTGATATATTTGTTCTCCACATCATTGCCAAACTGTGCAATACTTACCCTCAGCATTAAAGTGTATGCTTCTGCTCACAGGAGCAGGCTTTGAGATTGAAATATAATGCTTACTTTGAATTAGAAGAGCTGTGTGACAAGAGAATCCTAAATCTAGGTATGGGCTGGAAGTTACCATATGCTACTTTTGAGGGTCTCAGAGCCATTTTGGAAAAGAATACAGAGAGACCAAAATCGATGAAAATTTGTTTTTATTGGTGATGCTCATCGTCTTTGGAAGTCAGAAGGAATGTTAACAAGGTGTGTGTGACTTGCCATGGGATTCCACACATGCAGGAGTATAAATCCTTTGTGTTTTGATTCCTCTTTGTGCCACTGCTGTTTAGACATAATTTGAAAACCAGCTTGGCCCTTGTACTTCCTAATTATGTTAAGATAAAATATTCATAATGAATGCAGTATGAGTTTCAAGTAAGCCTTTCAAATCCTAAGTGGATCCTAAGTAATCACAGGCTTTAAGATAAAGTAAACATACGCATTTACCTAAGACAAGTACTTTTACGTATGTATATGGCAGGGGCAGGGTGTCATGTAAAATTTCCATGAAAAACCACGATAAATCCAATGATGCACTTTTTAAGGGTAGTTTATCTGGAAACTGGGATGGTCAAAAGACAGCAAAACATATACAAAGAAGCCCACTTTTAAGCAAACCTTTGTTTTTTAAGCAAAAATTCGGGAGAAAGAAGCCAAAAAATATTCTGAAGGCAGTGTAGTTTTATGGTAGCTATGAAGACTTTCAGCAGCTGGCTGATTTCTTCCTATCAGCTGACATGACTGGCAAATGACATTTCCATGAAAATCTTTGTCATCCTTATCTTCCTTCTACAGGCCTTGGCCTTGTTTCCAAAGATGCTTCAGTGAGGGTATATAAGGTCCATGACCTCTAGGGTTAGTGTCATCCACTTTAGGCAACAAGACCCTGATGAAGTGTCAGGAGGAGTGAGCACAGATCTTGGGGTGAATACCAATATTTTAGAGGTTTTTAAGAAGATATTTAAATTTTTACCCCTAATCGAAGAGAAGGGTTTCATCATCTGGTTTACATTCAAGATCTAGTCGGCTCATCATTCTGAGAAATAAATTTTCTTCTGGGTTAGGAAATCTCATCATGAGACTTGAGATATACTGGTTTGGAAAGTTTCCTCAGTTTTTCCTGGCTTCGAAGTCCCCGGCCTCGTAGTGGGGTAAGGCCCATTGGAGGCAGATGAATCTGAATAGGAAGAATAAGAATAATGATAATATTAAGAATTATAATCACCAGAGCAGCTTATTCATTGAGGATTTACTAAGTACCGTGCTCCCTGCTAAGCACTAAATCTACGCTGACTCATTAATCCTTAAAATCCTTACACACATTAATCCTTACAATAATCTCATAAGGAATTAGATAATATTTATAGATGAGACAATGGAGGCTCAGAAGTTAAATAACTTGCTCAATCTTATATACACATTAAGTGGTAGAGCCAAGATTTGCATTCCAGAGCACATTCCAGAGCTTGTGCTCTTCTTTGTCATACTGCCTGCATGGAAGGAACAATGACCACAGATCACATGGTGAGATGAGAATCCAAAGAAGGCGAGAAAAAAAGTTTGGGTAGACAAAGCTATTCCGCACAGAGTGGAAAACTGGGAGTAATCTAAATGCCTACTAAAGAGCTGCTGGGTAAATTATGGTATATTCTTGTAACAGGATCCAGTGGCAACCATTTAAAAAGATGGGAGGCAGAGATGGCCAGGACAGATGACATAAACTAAGTAAGCAGCAAACAGTATGTCCAGGATCCCATGTACTTTAAGAAAACGTAGGTACACGAATATAGAAAAAAAGACAAGATATTACCAAACTATTAGGTTGAGTCAATACCGGGTAAAATTGCTGTTTTTGTATTATAGGTTAAGAGTAGAATATTGGCAGTTTCATATAGTGCAACCGAACAGTTACAGTGGTTACTTCCACAGGGTGAGAATTTTGGACCATTTTCACTTTCTACCTCATGCACTCTTTTAATGCTATTAACAACAAACCTTACTTTTATTATAAGGAAAATAAAAATACTTCCATAAAAAAGGTGAAAGTCAAAAAGAGAAAGCTATCTAAATATGGGCTAGCTTTCCCTTCTATATGTGGGAAAGTTGTATGAGTAGGAGAAATCAGGCATTCATTGACATTTTAGCTTGTTGTGATGGGTTGGCGGCATGCAAGGATAGCTTACTTCCAACATGCCTCCCACAGAAGCTCTAGACTGCTCGACAAACACTGGCCCTCTTGGTACACGTTCTTGGAAATAACTGGGTTGGTGAGGAGAAGTACCCGCCACATGTTAACTGTCACACTTACTGGCCGTGGATAAGGAATCTGGTAATGCAGTCCAATTTCAATCCTTGCTGTGCATTCATCTATACACTGTTTAATCAGATCTGTGTCTGTGAGCTATTAAAAGAGGAAAACATGTGAGGTTCTTAGCATCTTTCTAATGCTCCTTATGTAGAGGTGTACATCATCTTCAACTTTCTCAGCTCACCAGCCAGTAAATTCAATGCTGATACTTTGAAAAATCAAAAGCAATTTAGTATAAAATTTACTGTGGATTAAACTTTTTAAAAAATTATGGCAATAGGTAATACCTGCACACAGTAAAACATTATTCAAATAACACAAAAGGATATAATATAAAAACAAAGTCTCCTTTTTACCCCTCTCTCAGTTCCCCCTTCTCAAGGACCACAATTATTGGCAGTGTTTGTCCTCCCAGGGATATTCTATGTAGATAAAAGCATATGTGTATATATACACTTTTTTTTTCCTTACACACAATAGCTCTCTTTGTTCTGAACTTTGCTTTTTCCCCTAACAATGTGTAGCTCCTTTTATATTTACACAGAGAGCTGCCCATTCTTTTTTTTTTTTTTTAATGTTTATTTATTTTTGAGAGAGAGAGAAAGAGAGAGAGAGAGAGAGAGAGAGAGACAGAGCATGGGCAGGTGAGGGGCAGACAGAGAGGGAGACACGGAATCCAAAGTAGGCTCCAGGCTCCGAGCTGTCAGCACAGTGCTCGACGCGGGGCTCGAACCCAAGAACCATGAGATCACGACCTGAGCCAAAGTCGGACGCTTAACTGACTGAGCCACCCAGGCGCCCCAGAGAGCTGCCCATTCTTTCTAAGAGCTGCACAAAATTCAAACATAAGGCCGTGTTATAATTTAATCAGTCTTTTCCTGATGGATATTTAGGTTATTTCCAGTTTTTTTCCATTATAAACAATTCTGTTATGGATCCCACTAAAGTTGTTTTTGGCTTACACGCAAATATATCTAAAAGATAAATTCCTAGAGAACTGCTGGGTTAAAGGGTGTATGTTCATGCATGTTTAATTCTTTCAGATATTCCCTCTAGATTCAAATTACCCTCTAAGAGTGTACCAATTTATAGTCCCACCAACACCCTGATGAGAATGCTTCTCCACTTTCTCTCCATGTGGATCAAACTTGAACCCAACTGTTTCAGCAAGTGCTGTCCAGAAACCCCCCAAGTAAGATATTGGAGAATGATCCACTTCTTATTTTGAACTGTAAACTGCCTTGTTCACTGGTAAGGGGAAGAAATGGCTTTTTAAATTCCCAAATAGTCAAATTGTGGTAGTCCAGTTTCAAGTAAAGGGATGACAAATTCATTCTAAAAAACAGAACACCAGGTAGAAGGGGAGAAACCCTTACATTTCAAGGATGGAAAATGAGTCAACATGTGGCTCTGCTAAGAGTTTGCAAGTGGGCCTCAAAGCAGAGCTGGGATTGCACCAGTCCCAGATGACACCCACAGTGACGTCTGGGCCAGCAAGGCTTGGAAATTCCAAGGGCGTGCCTATTCTATGGCACCTTTTGGAACAGAGAAGAGTTCTAGGAACTGCAGTGCACAGAACTACAGCTGGGTCCCCTGGGGCAGAGGGTCTGCTTTCTGACCTCTGCTTCTCAGAAGCTGTTGCTCTGATGTCCACATTGGGAATAGATTTCCATGTTCCCATTTGCCCATTAGGATTCAGAACAATTCATGAGATACCTCTGAATTATTATTAAAAACTCACAGCAAGTGGAGTTCTAAGAAACGACTTAAGTCTGCGTAAGGGACTGGGGAGAAAGAAGCCCGTCATAAAGATAACGTATGGTTAAGGGGGCTGAGGGCTCCTGGGACTGCAGCTGTCCATTTGAACAATCTGGGTTAGAGCACTCCAAATTCAGTCATTCATTGGCTGCCTTCATGATTCTGCTATATCCACATACCATTTATACTAACATTAAGCTTTCTCTTTAAATGTACTGTCGGGGCGCCTGGGTGGCGCAGTCGGTTAAGCGTCCGACTTCAGCCAGGTCACGATCTCGCAGTCCGTGGGTTCGAGCCCCGCGTCGGGCTCTGGGCTGATGGCTCAGAGCCTGGAGCCTGTTTCCGATTCTGTGTCTCCCTCTCTCTCTGCCCCTCCCCCGTTCATGCTCTGTCTCTCTCTGTCCCAAAAGTAAATAAATGTTGAAAAAAAAAAATTTAAAAAAAAAAATGTACTGTCTCCTAAGCATAATATTTGTGGCGTTATCTGATATGCTATTTTCTAACACATGGCAAAATACGTATCTTAAAAACCCATGTACCTTCTCCCCAGACACAACAAAATAATTTTATTTATGTCACATCACTGGCACATACACTTCCCTCTGACTCACACCACACTGGGCCAGCCCAAGCTGAGGCAAAGGATTGATTACTGCCATAACTGAAAACCCTAAGGGCCTTGATCAGTCCTCACATGAGTGAGCCTGAAAAGGTTTACTGGGCACATCCTGCTATGATATCTCTCCAGCACCGGGCTAGACACTGTGAGGCCATGATTCTTGCCTTCAACTATCAAGGTTATTACCTGGGCAGAACAACTCTGATGCATAAAGCTACAGAAAAGGCATGGAGGCATGTAATCAACAGGGCAGTGACTGCTGCAGACTGCTCTAGAGGAGTTCAGAATAGGTCACTGTCACAGGGTTGAGTGAAGGCTCATGAATTTAGTGACAACCACAAGGCAGGTCCCATGGGATATATAAGAAAGTATAAGACATTGTCTCTTTGCTCGAGGAAGTGGCAGTCTGGTTGGGGAGACCACACCAACATAAATGAAACAAACAAGAAGGAATGTGACCAACTACATAGGGACAGGCATAGGTTATAGTGGTCTCCCAACTTTTTGATTATTTACTGCTTTCAGTAAAAATTTCTGAGCCCATAGCTCCTATACATGTACTCATACTGATTTATAAAATATATTAATAAGTGCATTAAATACATCAAAAACCTTATAAGTATACACCAAATACACATTTTAATTTTTTTTTATTTTTTAAAATTTATTTTTTTAGTAATCTCTACACATAGTGTGGGGCTCAAACTCACAACCCCGAGATCAAGAGTCACATGCTCTCCCAGCTGAGCCAGCAAGGCACCCCATGAACAGACATTTTTAAAGGATGCAATAAAAAATAAAGAGAAATAGCACTTGCAGTATTTTATTTCCATTTCTCAGAGAACTGTTTAAGGACTTCATTGGGCATATACATTGTGATGTGTGGCATGGAAAAGTTTGGAGAAGCTGGAGGAAGGCCGGAAAGGCAGAAGCTTCATGAGCAGGTTGGTTTTATGAAGCAGACAGGATTCAGATTCCAAGATGGGGAAGATAGTGTCGTTTGGGAGGGTTTCTTTGTAGTGCTTACCCCAATTGTAATTTTTGAAATTTCTTACCATCTAACTCTGAAACATCTTTGAGGGATCCTGTCTTGGTTTTGCTCATTTTATGTCCTCAACATCTAGTCCAATGTTTGGCACATGGTGGGCACTCAAATACTTGCTGAATGAAAGAATGAGAGCAGAGAGTTGCAGAGTGGTGATGGGAGCTATGGCAGAAATAGGCAAGCTGGAGAGGGGAGGCATCCTGGTGGAAAGAGGTGCTCTGCTTTGGATCGTTATACTTGGTGTAAGGCCCTTCAGGAGGCTGGTGAGGGGCTGAGGCTGGGTTTTCAGATGTGGGAGCTGAAACCATAAAGTGGTTGCACAGTCTCTGGGCCTCAGTGCAGAGGGCTGACTTTCAGAGGATCCTTACAGCTGGCAGGAGGGTGTGTGGCAGGAGGGTGTGTCCAAAAGGACACAGAGACAGGGGTCAGAGAGGAAAAGTAAAGAGAGTGGATTGTTAGGAAGTGTCATGAGGGGAACAGTGACAGCATTGACTTCATGAGATCAGTGAGAAGGAGGCAAGGAAAGTAAGAAGCAGAAAGCTTCTTTCCATGCTTAGTGCCAGGCAGTCTTTGTAAGGAGCTAAGAGCCAATGCTTTATAGTCTGTGGGATGGGTCACATCAAGCCTCTTACAAATGGTTTTTGGCTCCCTGATGTGTAGGTGTGCAGTTCCGTTAAACTACTTAATGGAGGCACTTTCTTACCCAATTCTGTGGTCTCAAAGGGCAAACTCACTCTGCTAGCCAAAGAGGCTTGAGTTCAGAGTGAAGTTGTGAAGGGAACCCTGTGTCTTTATCCTATTCTCTTTCTTCTGAATGGGTTTATACTTAGAGGCCTTGAATAGTTTATGAGTTGAAGAAAAAAAAAAAAGTTTCACTATGCACCTCCTGTGGGAGGGGCCAGGAACAGGCACAGTGATTTCGAACTGCTCCTCCCCTGAAAACCCTCACTGGCCTGGCTCCTGTCACCTGGCTCATGGGGTCTTACAAGGACGAGGATGCTAAGACACTGACAGGCTGGACTGAGACCTGAAACAAATGACGGGAGGAACCCAGGCTGGGCTCTGCTTCCCAGTAGTTGGGCAAGCTAGCTGGGCCGTGCCTCTGAGCCCTTCCTGCCCCACACTCTGCCACTGTGACCTGTGCTGCTCAGTCCTCTCAATTTTAGGACGAAAAAGAACAAGTATCACAAGACACTGCCCTCCTCCTTACAGTTTCCAATTGGGGCCTACTTACATTTTTGTTTTTCTGGAACAGCGTTCTGGCTTCATTTAATATGTACTGTTTTTCTTTAATGGTGTCTTCCATCTGCCCTGATGCCGCCTGCCATTTCCTCACAAGCCTGAAAATTCTGCGGTAGAGGCCAAGAACTTCTTGTCGTGTTGCTGTTGTCATCCTCAGACCTACCAAAATAGAAGAGGGGAAATTTGCATGAAAATTCAATTTGACAGTAGGCAGCTAGGCAGATGTACATTTTTTTTAATCAAGCTTTTTAATTAGTCTGGAAATAATTGCTCTTTCTCAACAGATCTGTTTGGTAGCATTGCCAGAATGTGCTATAGGAACACCAGATCTCTCTCAGCCGTGCTAGTATATCACCCCATGGTTCAGAGTTCATGTTTGCTACGATGGCAATTTTTACAAATATGGCAAACCAAAATTCAAATTTACTATATTTTAAAGCAGTAAATTCTTTACCAGAATATCTTGGGAATGATGCTTTTAGTGTGTATTTTTATAAGATTGCAGTACTTACCAGAGTGCCTGGAAAAGGCACATTTTGAAAAAATAATTTACGTTTATTTATTCTAAGAGCGCGCATGTGCGAGCATGAGCAGAAAAGAGAAAAAGATAGAGGGAGAGAGAATCCCAAGCACGCTCTGTCCTGTCAACATGGAGCCTGATGTGGGGCTAAAACCCATAAACTGTGAGATCATGACCTGAGCCGAAATCAAGAGTCAGATGCTCAACCAACTGAGCCACCCAGGTGCCCCAAATAACTAAAATTTCTAGTTAAGTAACTTGAGTTTAATGCAGGGATCTCAAATTCAAGCACATCCAGGGTCTGGCAGGTAACAAAATGAGGGAACCTGGCTAGGTAGAGACAATGGCCAGGAGAGGACATCCCCCCGCCCCCCGAAAAGGTACAGTTGCTACTCAGTATCAGGCAGCTACTGCCATGGAGAAATGAGGGCCTAGGAATGCCAGATTTCCTCATAGTTTAACAGTAGGTAGCAATCCATATTTTTTAAATGTGAAATCTCAAGACACTAATTCATTCTTTTCGAAAGTGTGAGTATCATGAAAGCCAAACACATTGAGTCTGCAGGCTCAATTCTACCCAGAGGCTGGCAGGTTGCAACCTCTCTTTTAGTTCATCATAACCTTGTTGAAAATATTTCTCAAAATTGTTGGTCTGCTTCCTTTTCCATGTGAGAACCATACAGTAAGTATAACGGAAGATCTTGCTGATGATGACTAAAGAGCTTGTGGCCTCTTTGGGTTTTTACTCTGAAACATCAGTTTTAATTTCAGGAAACTTGGCTAAGTGAGTCCCAACCTAAGTATATTCCCAAAGCTAAATGCATTCATTCATTCATTCATTTAGAGAGAGAGAGAGAGAGTGAGTGGGAGGGGCAGAGACAGAGATACAGAATCTGAAGGAGGCTCCAGGCTCTGAGCTGTCAGCACAGAGCCCAACGTGACCCATGGACCATGAGATCATGACCTGAGCTGAAGTCAGATGTCTGACCAACTGAGGCATCTAGACACCCCTATATGCATTAAAAAAATTAAATTCCTGTCATTTTTATTTTTATTATGAAATATTTCAGATATACAAAAAGATATAGAGAATATAATTAAACAGCCATATATTCACAATGGATCTTAAATAAATTATATATATACCCCTACTGTATCCCTTCCAGTCAAATTTCCCTTCCTCTGTGCTAGAAGGAACCACTGTGCTGAACTTATTAATCTTCTCACACATATCTTTACACTTAACATTCTATAGTATTGCTTAGCAAGTTTACAAACCTTATACAGCTGACCCTTGAACAATATGGGGCATAGGAGCACTGACCTCCACGTAGTCAAAAATCTACAATAACTTTTGACTCCCCAAAACTTTACTAATAGCCTACTGTTGACATGAAGCCTTACTGAGAACATAAGCAGTCAATGAACACATATGTATGTATATGTATCATATACTATATTCTTACAATGAAATATGCTAGAGAAAGGAAAATGTTAAGAAAATCATGAGGAAAAGAAAATACATTTATAGTACTGTTCTGTATTTGCAAAAGAAATCTGTGTCTAAGTGGACCTGCATAATTCAAACCCATGTTGTTTAAGGGTCAACTCTCTATGTAAAAGGTATTATGTCCTTCTGCAACTTGCTTTTTTTGCTCATGTTTGTATGATTCACCGATGTTGTTACATGTAACCCTAGCTCATATATTCTCAATACTGCAATTCAGTCCCAGTATATTGTCTCTTCTCCTGCTAATGTTCTAATGATGGGACATTAGGTGTTTTCCTTTTCTTTCTCTTTTTACTTATGCAAAAACTTCAGACTATGTCTTTACTATTTACTACTATATCTAAAAGAAATTCAGGGAAGACAGAAAAAAGAAGTCTCAAAACTAGAGGATTCTGATTAGTCACATTTTAGAGAATGAATATATTGTACGGTCTTTAACAAAAGGGTAGGCTGGGAAGACAAGAACACATCTGGTGAGTAGCAGGGCCAGGCACTGGAACACCTCACGAGTACTGGGCTTTCCTCAAACAGGCTCATCAGGATGGGGAAGTAGGCTGCTCACTGCCCTTTGAGAAGAGGACCCATTTCCAACTCAAGGTGGAGGTGTAACATACGGAGACTGTATGCTTTAGGGTGGGCCTGAGCTCCTGAGGACTTGGGCAGCTAAATGCAGATGGGAGCTGGGAAGAGTGAGTTCATCTAGAAGTTCTAAGTACCTGCAAGGAATTTACCTTAGAATTTCTTTTGAATAGGATTGCCTCCCTGCCCCCTGACCCTGGTGACCTTTCTTAAGCAATGAGTAATGAACCAAGGCTTAATCACTTGCTGAAAAGGTTGAAAGCACTGCTTCACCCAATTCAAAGTTAAGATGAAAGTTATAATCAACACCAATTCTGATGTCCATGGATACCTCACAGAAAAAAATGCTTAGAAGAAATTCATAAAAACCAGGAGAGAACATCATCCTTTGTGGCTAATCGTAATAAAAACCCATGAGATGATGACTTTTCCTGGTAAGGAAACAGGTTTCTGAGTTTCTGGTTCTCCCTAAAACTCCATGATTTCATATGAAAATACGTGAGTCAGTTCCTGTGAGGGGCATAGAGTCTGTAACTACGATTAATGATTGCTTCACTTCCTTAACAGATGAAACGTCTCTGACTGCATGACACTTGAGGAAAGTGACGGAGGTATGGCATATTAAAGCAGTAGCAACCTTCTCCAAAGCCTTTGTTTTTTTTCTACTACTCGAAAGAGCCACAACTTCAAACTGTAACTGGTCATATGCCATAATCGGATACACAAGCCCTGCAATTAGGGTACTCAAGGTCATAGGCAATACCAACAATCAGTACTTAATAGGTCTATTTTCAAAACACTTTAATTAACGTATACAGTGTTTTGAAAACTAATCCTGAAAGGGAGATTGATATCGCCCTCTCCACCATCAGGTGACCCAGAAAACCCAAGTCTGAAAGATTTCCGGAGAAGGGTCTAAGGCTGTATTCCCCATTGTGCACTATTAGCAAGTCTAGCTTAACAACACTTCCCAGTCTTCAGAGAATAGGCAAGAAAAGAAAAATGCCTCCTTTGTTGTTTTCTTACTGGATTTCTTTCGGTTCTTTGAGGGAATCACATTTTTCTTACTGTAGGTAGGGGTATACATGCATGCTGTTCCCTCTTTCTAGAAGGCTCTTTCCTGACCCTCTCTCTTTTACCTGACCAACCCCTACTCATCCTTCAATTCCCAGTGAAAACCTGGACACCTCAGAGAATCCTTCTCCCTCCTGTCACCACATGCACTGGGTCAGGTCTGTTGAACCTTCCCATGGATTCTTGAATTTCTTCTTTGTGGTACTTACCACTCAAGTAATTATGGTTTGTTAGTGCCTGTCTTCTCCCAATTGATCCTTACGTTTATGGGGACAGTTACGACATCCATCTTATTTACTGCTCAATTCTTGGCACTTACCCAGGTCTGTAATTGGTGTTCCACAAATGCTGAATAAATAAAAATATCTCATGATACAGAAAGCTTGGGATTCTAGAAACAAAACTGACCATATAAAAAATTTTTTTTCCAAGCTCTTTCCCCTTTGGTTTATATTTTTGTCTTTGTTCCTAGGAAGCAACCTGTTTAGAAAAAGTGCTTTTTCCCTAAGAGTGTTCCTTCCTATGGATTCAATGACTTGAAACCAACATTTATTCCTCCGGAACTATCAATGATTTCTCACTACTGATGCAAGGCTGAGATGGCTCTTTTCTTTACTAGTTTCATGGGTTGATCCAATGTACTGAGGTCTGCTGGGATTTTCCCACAGGCAACATGAGAAATATCAAATTATTTAGAGGACCACATTTTTAAAAAAGATTTTATTTTTAAGTAATCTCTACACTCAACATGGGGATCGAACTCACAACCTTGAGATCAAAAGGTGCAGGCTCCACTGACTGAGCCAGCCAGGTGCTCCTAGAGGACCACAACTGAACCAGTCTCACTCAACTGGCCATGAAATCTACTCTTACAGAATTTTTAAAGTTTTATAACTTTGATTATGAGATTGACATTTGGTCAAACTGTTTCACTTTACTTCCTTAACCCCAAAGCCCCAGAATGAGGAAAGGTAAGAGATATGAAGTGTTCCTGGGAGGAAATGTGACTAGAAACTGGCCTTTTCTTCTTCTTCTTTTAATGTTTATTTTGAAAGCGAGAGAGAGAGAGAGAGAGAGAGAGCGCGTGCGCGCACGTGAGCAGGGGAGGGGCAGAGAGGGAGAGGGACTCCCAGACTCCGTGCTGTCAGCAGAGATCCTGACACCAGGCTCTATCTTACCAACCTGATCTCACTATCATGACTTCAGCCGAAATCAAGAGCTGGATGTTTAACCAACTGAGCCACCCAGGTGCCTCGAAATTGGCCGTTTCTTAAAATCGTACCCCATACATACATAGTACCAAGAAAAAATTCACAACTAAGCATCTTCCAAGTGAAGCCTGGGCCACTAAGAAAAGGCTGATAAATGTTGCTGCTAGTGTGGTTTGGTCTCTGGTCACAGTTGGGAGAAGTTTTCCCGACAGCAGGTGTCCCAAAGATTGGTTGGGGAGGTTATTTTTTGGATGTACAAGTATTT